AATATGAGGTGGACATCATTTTAGAACATTGCTATATTTGTGATAGCAGTGGACGTCCATAGCTTCAATATAAAGTTTTTTGGAAAAGGTTATCCTATCCACGATGCAATATGAAAACCTGCACAGAACCTCAACTATTACCAAGAGATAATTTGGAAATATCACTGGAAATAAAACAAGGACATTCAGCATTAGTAGAGAGGGGTTAATTGTAATAGGATATAGATAAGATATTTATATTATTGGCACATATGAAAAGATAGTTGAAACTATATTTGAGAAGTTATGAAAGTTTTTAGAATTAAGGCTAGATTAGTGGACAATATAGGATCCATTGTAGAACATTCTAAAAAGAGCCTAGGGCAGTTATTTAGGTGGGATCTACTATAAAACCTTCTAGAAGAAATTTAGGACAGTAATCTAAGTGACATCCATCAATTAGAAATATTCTAGAAGGAATTTATGATGATTATATAAGTGGGATCCATCATTTAGCAATATTTTAGAAAGTCTAAGGTAATAGAATATATATAAATAGGACTAATTAGGATCCTTTGGACATTTGGTGAAGTATAGCTTTGGATCTTCTTTCTTAATAAAGTTTGGTTTTACATCTTCTTATTCAATTCTATTTTGTTCTATTTTTATTTTTATAATTTTTTCTTTTGTGTCTTATTCAATTTAATTTTATTCAATTTTGTTGTGATCCATTTTATCCTATTTTGTAATGAGGTTTTATGTTGCTATGGACTAGAAGAGTCTTAGACTCTCAAGATATACTAGCCCTATTTCAGCATCAAAGAAAGAGATGAATGAAAGATTTTTTTTTGAACTAGGTATGAATATTTTAAATATAATGTCATGCATTTTTGACTCTTGAATGCACCAACTACTTTTCAACATTTTATAAATGACGTTTTTTATGAAATTTTTTTGTTATTTTTTATTTAGATGACATTCTAATCTATTCTGAAAATACAAAATAATATGAACTTCATATTTGTCATATGTTACATAAACTTAAAGATGTAGGATTATATGCTAAGATCGACAAGTATATATTCCACATTACTCAAGTTGACTTATTAAGATACATCATTTCAACAAAAGACTAGTAATAGATCTAAAATAGATTTAGACTATCATATATTAGAAGATTCTAAAAACAATAAGAGATATAAAATTCTTTTTGGGCTTTGCTAATTACTACCAAATCTTCATCAAGAACTTTTTTTCAAGTTCCAGCTATACTTACAAGTTTGACTTATAAAGATAAATTTGAGTAGAGTAAAAAAAATTAAAGTATAGTTTGATGCCTTGAAGAAGGAATTTACTTCTACACCAATCTTGTATTGCATTAACTTTTTAAGATATTTTTCATAGAAATAGATGCATCAAAACTTGCCTTGGATGCAATATTGTCATAAATGGGAGAAAATAACAAACTCCATCCAATAGCTTTTTATTCCAAATTATTTTTAGTAATAGATATCAATTAAAAAATCTACAACAAAGAACTTCTTATAATTATGGATTCTTTTAAAAAATGGCATCATTATCTAAAAAGTACTTCTAGTCCAATTTTTATGTATATAAATCACAAGAACTTCAAATACTTCATGTCAATGTAAGTGTTGAATCATTGCCAAATTCATTGAAGCATGTCATTATTAAGATTTGACTTCAAGATCACATATTAATTTAGAAAATAATAAGGTTTTTTAAATGTACTTTTTAGATATTTTCATCATGTATCAAAAGAAAGAAATGTAGCTTTTAATGAAGAATCATCTTTAAGTCTAAGCAATTTCATCTTTGAACCATAAAATCAATATTGATTATTGATTGAACATTTTTCAAACAAATTTAATGAAGTATATCCTTTGATCATCTTATTCATAATATTAAGAATAATTCTTTTAAGTCTTATGATACTTCCAAGTTCAAGTTTAAGAACAACCTACTTTATTTTAAAAGTCACCTATATGTTTCAAAAAGAGAAGCTAATTTATGCATTCTTCAAGCTTATCACAACTTTTCAATAGTAAGATATTTAAGATACAATAAGATTTTTGAACTTATATTTAAAGATTTTTAGTCGTCACAAATATAGAAGGTTATAAAAGAGTTTATACAGTCATGTGACATTTGTTTAAAGTCAAAAATTCTTCATCATTGATCTTGTAGACTTCTTCAACCAATACCTATATCAAAACAACCATGGTCTTCTATTTTTATGGATTTTATTATAGATCTTCCAAGTTCAAGTTCATATGATTTTATATTTATGATTGTAGATTGTTTCACTAAAATACTATATTTGTATCATGTATAAAATCTATTTCAAATAAAGAAATAACTAAGTTTTTCTTTGATAACATCTATTGCTATTATGAATTGCTAAAAGATATTCTATCAAATAGAAGGACATAATTTGTAATTAAATTTTAAAGAATAATTTTTAAGATATTGAAAGTGAATATAAAACTCTCTTTTGCCTTTGATCCTCAAACTAATAGACAAATAAAATAAATGAATTAAGTTTTGAAATAGTATTTGAAGTGTACCATCAACTATCATGAAGATGATTGAATATCACTTTTGCCATTGGCAGAGTTTATGTAAAATAATTTGTTACATTCTTTTATTCAACAAACACATTTTTTTACCAATTATTGATATCATCCACAACTTGATACTTTTAACTTTTCAAAAATTGATAATCATGTAGCAAAAGATTTCATAAATCTTTTATCAAAGCTACATGTAACAATGAAGGTGCAATTAAAGAAAGCTCAAAAACAACAAAAGATCAATATGGATGCCTATCACAAGGAATAATCACAATTCAATGTGGATAATAAGGTCCAATTATTTTGTCACAATATCAAGACTATTTATCCTTGTGACAAGTTGGACTATTATAGGCTTGGACACTTTCTTATTTGTGAACAAGTCAATCCTATTACTTATTAATTATATCTATCAAAGTTAATGAAGATCTATCTCATATTTTAGATGTCTCTTTTTGAGCCATATAAAATAGGGATTATCTTGGAAAGAAGACAAATGCTATTTCTTTCTATAGAAGAAGATAATAATCAAAAGTTTGAAGTAGAAGAAGTCTTAGATTCAAGGTGGCACTAAAATAGATTGGAATATCTTGTTCATTGGCATGGATATGATATTAGTGAATGTATATGGGAGTCAACAAAAAATCTTGCAAATGTAGTAAAGAAGGTTGAGACATTTCATTGATGACATCTATTAAAGCGAAGATGAAGAAAAATAAGATCTATAAAAGATAATGATCATTGCTCGTAAAACTTGTCTTTCAAAAGGGAAAGAGGCTAATGTCATGGATATAAATATTTATTCCAATTTTTTTTCTATATGATTAAATAGAAGTAAAAATAAATAAATTTTATAATATATTTTAGAAAATCTTCCTAGAAGCTTCATAGATGTGGTTTTGACTTTATACATGTTTGTAGTTGATTGGTAGGTTAGAAATTTGGTCAACAATTTAACTATGTATCATATATATTGATAGCTTGTAGAATAAGCTAATTATATGGTGGACAAATAAAAAACTTATCTTGCAAGTAAAGATATGCATTTTACAAAATCAACACATATTGAAGGTCCTATAGAACATTGCCACATAGCTCCTAATTAGATAGTATATATATGGAGGCAAGAGTGAAGCCTTTTTCACTCTTGTTAATGCCTTTCTAGGTCTTATCTTTGTTTCAAGACTTTTTAGTCTTTTCAAGTGAGATAAGAATGTATTGAATTTTTTTACTTTGAAATTCATGTCTTTGATAACAAATCCTATAAAAAATAGCATTCATGCAATAACATGAAAAAACAACTTAATAAAATATTTTTTAGAAAATGAGACAACACATGAATTATAAACATAAGTGATATTAGATTGAGACAATTTACACTCTTTGCTACTAATCATAGAAACTCTAATTTGCAAGGTTTTGCTGGCCTAGGAGGAGCTTGTTGAGCAAATGAAGGCGTGTTTTTTCACGTTGGATTCTGCAAGTTCAGCCATGTAAACGAAGGAACCCAATTGTAGATTGCTGAGAGATGTAACGTCGGAGCACTTTGTCCGAGAGCTTCTACTCAACACTCCCAATGGCAAAAGTGGGATATGAGTAGGCTTTCTTACCAGCTTCAAGATACGCGATTGAGGAACATAGAGCTACTCCTACTGGTGTTATTTGCCAGTAGAAGCGAAGGGACCTGAGCATTGCAATCGCCCCTGTAACGTTGTCGATCTTTGGTGAACTAGACTTGCTTCGACAGGAATGCTGTGAAGTCGAAGATGTTCCTCAAATCCCACAGGTAGATTGCCACCATGGCTGGAGTTGTATGATCCATCGGTCGGCACAAAGCATGAGTGCAGAGAATCATGTTTTACTGTAGCTTTTGACGATGTGATTTTGTGTGCCTTAAGTCTGGTAGTTGGAGTATCGGAAATGACTGAGTTAAGCCAATAATGCAACACAATTCAAGCAGGAAGGATCACGTGAAATGATTCACGCTGCCGTAGCGACATGAAATCGCAAGCGAGCGGCAGAGCTCAGGTCAAGTGGATAGAAATCCAATGTAAGTCGCCGAGGATCCAACACTATGTTGTTAACCTTAAATTTGGTACCATCATGCATGGTCGGCTTTTCCAATCATCCAAAACTCAGTTCACGTTTTGCATACAAGACAGCCTCAAGGTTGCCAGTTGTTTGTTGTTATAAACAAAATGATACGACATAGAAGCGAAGACTAGGGTTTACCATTGTGTGCTGCGCTTGTCTCGGCATTCTCATCATCTTACACATCGAATTCATGTGGGTACTGACTACTACGAGTTCGTTTGTCCTAAGATCCATCCATGTACGTTGGCGGGACAGAGGCTGCACTCTTGAAAGGTCCGAGAAAATACCCTATTGCGAAGATGGAGCTTTTTTAAGGTTCGGATTTGGTCCACCATTTTCCAGCACATCAAAGCCATACCGGAAAATGTGAAGTTACACAGATGTCAAGTACTGTACCGAAATCACACAATTGGAGTGCTCTTCTTCTAGATGGACGCGCGAGGGGAAGAAAACAACGGCAGAGTTCAGGTGAAGGCATGGAGATCAATAAGATATCGTTCCTAGTCATGCAATCCTACTCTTCGCCGGCCAAGCATTATACGCCATTATTTTAAGCCTGTGCATGCACTATGTGCGAGGCACGCTGCTTTCTAGCAGTTGGACACGTGCGATTCACTAGAAATCAGATTCTTTATACCACATGTGGGTGCCTTTCGTCACAATCTGATGGTAATCAACGTGTTGCGTATTCCAACATTTCACGAATAGCAACGAATTACACTGTAGCCCATCAATTTGGATGTCATTGAGAGGTGGGAGCGATGTGACGTGGTCTGCAAACTGAGCAGTGCACGATTTTTTGGTGGAGCGGATGAGGGAGGGGAATGCGTGAAAGCAATGGATGTTTGAGAAGAGGGCGAAGGAATACTATGGCGATGATGAACTGTACGCGAGTGGACTTACGGATATGCTCTGAAGTGCTGGAGCGGGTGGGAGGAAGAAGTAGGTGGGTCTGGATGTGAGGTGTAGGGTTCAGGCCGTCGAAATGGATTTCAGGATTAGCGGGATTGAACAAGGTGTGTGACGATTCTTCGTGTCGCTTTGCATTTTAAACAGTTTAGGAGATTACCAATCAGTCTAAGCCTTTTTCGTGGAAGACGTGGTCAATCGTGGATTGACCTAGTTATTCCTCTTCGTCAGAGTTTCGCTAGCATTGTTGGCAAGTCTGTCACAGTGAAAGATTCTGCACTGCGAGGTGGGAACTCATCCTCCACTCCATCTCTGCTACCTCTTTCGGATTCATGGGAAGAATAAGTTTTGTCTATGTCAGGCTTGTTGGGCGTCTCGACATGCTCCGACACGGTTTGAGTGGAGAACAATGCCGTCAGGAATGAGTCGGCGTCCATTTCTTCACACCGATTTCGGAAGCCAGGTCTTGGGTTCCTCAACTGATAGCCGCTGGCATGGGTTGGCCCTAGTTTACATTATGACCATGTAGGAATTCCAGTTTGGTTACAGGCTGGGAGCTGGTTGGAGATGCGTTGAAAAATATTAAAGATAGCTGTGCGTCAATCGTGGTTCATGGCACAATAATTCTGGAATGGACCCCGCGTTTGATGTCACACTGGTGAGTCACAGCCCAGATACCAAGGTCAACGGGTCGTAAAGGGGCTTTTTCTTCATCTTGTGAGTTGTACTCGCTTCTGCAGGCGAAACATGTCTTCCCGTCACTTACTTCGGCATAATTAAGCACAAGCTTCCGAAGCTGGAGCGTATTGCGATGCGCTTATCATCAGTTAGTGTTGATATTTGTTGCAGGTTAGCCCAGTTTCTGTCTCCATAGATGGTGCCATTTGAGCGAGTCGAAGCACACAAACATGAAGACGAAGCTGAGGACTATTTCGATAACCGACGGTGGCCCGCCACAACAGTTGAACGAATCTCGCTTCAAATACGTCTCTGCTTGTAGGATTATTCTGCAATTCGTATTTTGTATCGCAAGTATTATTCTTGGTTTCCGAACTTCAGAGGAAATCTCCCTCGTAGTGTTTCAATTTCGCCATGTGGAAGACGCACTTAGCTTTAACTGGTTCGATCGAGGGTCCAGACGCGTCGTGGGCTTAACCGTAGCGAAGGGCGTCAGTGACCTGAGCTTATCAGGCTCCTCGGATTCTTTGGTAGAGCCAGAGGAGGCGACATTTAGTAGCTTGCCACATCTAGATGCAAGGCTTCCTGGGCCGTTAGCTGGCTCGGTGAAGCCCACAAATTGGTCGACGAGCACAGGGGTTCAAGTGGGTCGCCACAAGATATTGATACGGGAATGGCCGCACCCAGACCCCGTAGAAACGATGAAGGCACACAATTTGATCGCAAGGGTGCAGCTGGAACAGGAGCGGTTGCACGGCGTCCCAAACTGGAAACCGGTGATTGTGATTACACCTACGTATGATCGCATGTTCCAGGCCGTGTACTTGACAGGTGCCCTAGCTCTACACCATTTTGCCTTGTGCCAGATTACATCCTGAATGCTTTCTACGATTTCAACTGGCACTCTGAGAGGTCTAGAAATGTTGAAAGAGTGTGGTTGATTTGGCAGGCTTGATGCACACATTGTCCCTCGTTCGGGGCCCAGTAACGTGGATTGTCATAGAAGCAGGGGGGAAAACGTCGAGAACAGCAGACCTGCTTGCTCAAGCTCGTGTAGATAATGTAGTCCATTTGGAACACTCTAAATCCATGCCAGTATACTTCGAATCCCGTTGGATCATGGAGTCTCATCTAAGAGTCGAAGCACTGAGATTTGTGAGGAAGAAGAAGCTGGAGGGTGTCGTCGTCTTTGCCGATGATAGTAATGTTTACAGTATGGAATTTTTCAACTTAATACAGAAGGTGGAGTGGGTGGGCGTTCTTCCACTGGGCGTGCTCGGTTATGCTGGATTTCAAGACACCAGCAAGAAAAAAAGGAGGAGAAGAGGTAGTTTGTTGCTCGGCGTTGTTCACAAAGGGCAAGTTCCTCCCAAGCTTGATCTCCAAGTCCAGACGCTTACCCGAAACTTGGACGGGGCTCTTCATGGCTGGCACGCACACAGACCTCTACCGTTAGATTGGGACTCAGGGAAAGGATCCACAGTGTTAGACGATAGGTTGCAATGGGCAGGTTTTGTATTGAATGCACGAGCAGTTTGGGCACCAGAGACTGTGCGACCACAATGGCTGAAAGGATGGCAGGATTGGGCTCGGTTGGAAGAAGGTGTGTATCTTGACTTGAGATCCATCTTCAACGACGAAACTCATGTAGAGCCGCTTGCGGAGAACAACATTGTGCGGCATTGGTGGATCCGAGCAGAAGGCCGTCCAGACTTCAAGTATCCCTCTAGGCGAGGGTTTGTTTTCTGGCTCTCATCCGCAGCTTTCGTGTTGTAAAGAGTGTCAGACTGTGCCGAAAACTTTGACTTCATTTTCCTAGCAAGTGCACTTGTCACCGTAAAATTCACTAGAAAATGACAGCTACAGAACGAGAAGAGAGGGCAATGTATGTTGTTTACAACCAATGTGTCTATCACTCCACTTTCAGTGGTTTAAATCTGAGTATTATATCATCCATACTACTATGTTATGTTGAAGTTATGTTTCTTCAGAATAGCATGGCTTACGGTTGAAACTTTGCTTGTCAGGTGGGCTTTCGATTCTCAACCACAGATTGTGTTGCCTGCAAGGAGCACTCCATGGCGTGAAGTGGACACTAGTGGCAAATCTGCAGCTCGGCAGGAGAAATCCACGCCTTCAGTATGAAGGTCAGATGTATGCAGAAGAAAATTTCATGGATATGGCTACACCTAGAAGCATAAGTATCCTAGTTTGATGTGACGTGGTGGATTGATGCTTCTTTTAAACCAAGGTTCTTGCGGATTTTGTCTTCTTGTGGGCTGAATTTTCGCCCACATATTGTTTGTAGATTGATTGTAGTTAACATATTCAGCAGAAAATCGTAGTATGGATGATATAATACTCAGATTTAAACCACTGAAAGGCGAGAATATATTACCTGTATCAATAGCTGATTACGCTTGCAAAAGATAGTGATTGCTAGATGTTGCAGCAAACGAATAGATCTATAAAGCTAAGTCTGAACACACTGACTAAGGAGCTGTAGGATACTTTTGTTGTAGTTCCATCTTCTGTAGGTTGCACAACATTTGAGGCCTACAGGTGAGAAGTGCACAGAATGTCACAAATCACCTTATGATGTACTTATCATTCTTTTTAAAAATCTCCGCTCAAATAGTTGTACTACGTTAAATATCAGTGATGATTAAAACAGTACGACTTGAAAATTGCTTGTTGCTATGACAAAAGCAATTGATAACAGTATTGCCACCCAGGTTGAACCTACACCTGTGCCAAATATGAACTGGCAATTTAGTGATGAAGCTTGTGGGGTGGTTCATGACCTAACTCGGTAGTAACCATTAGGCCGGTTTATGACTGTATTTACATGAGGAGTTGATTTGGATATTGTGATACAAGCGCTTCAAGCTGTACGAAGAGGAATCAAGTTGAAAATCTACACTACAAACCGACCCCTGGAGTTCAATTCAAAAGACAGACAAACGTGATGTATTTATGCAGATTTTCCTCTCAAATTTTCAGTATTATATATATATATATATATATATATGTGTGTGTGTGTGTTTGTGAATGTGTGTATATGTATGTATATAAGCACCAGTAACTATCTTTAAAACAAGTTGCACCTTGCACAAATCTTTGTTTACAATGCTACTGCTGATTCTATGCCGGACTGTACAAGTAGGGTCCATTAATAATTCAAAAATTTTCCTGAAGTTGAAGCAAAACCTGTAGACTCATCAATTCACAAGCTGTAAATTGAGATGGAAAGATGATAGAGTCTATTTTGAGAATATGACATATTTGCATTACAAAATTATAAAATAAAACAAAAAATTTAAAAAACATTACATAATATCAACCATCTAGTGTTGCCACCTCTTGCTGAAATAACTGCTTGCATTCTTTCTTCCATTCTCTCAAGCATACTCCTAATCAAAGTTTGAAGTTGCTCTAAAGATATTGTATACCATGCTAATTGAATGGTTTGTGCAATTTTCTTGTTTTTTGGTCTGCAACAATGCTACAACAAATCTTTGACAATCTTCCATAGATTTCCCATGGGATTCAAAACCAATTAATCATACCATTGTTGTGTTGTAACACGACTATATGGTAAAAGATGATAATATGGATCTTATTATAGAAGAGCCAAGTTAAAAGAAAAGGTAGAAAAATATGGATAAAAGATAGGAAGGTAGTAAAACTTTTAGTAGTAATACTGCCTTTTTAGAAAAAAATAGCTTTTACTTACTTTGTAAGGCCAAAATAAAGCAAAATAAGGTAGATTGGAAAAATAAATGATATAGACATCTTTAGGAGGAAGTTAAGAGTAAATTCTAGTAAAAATTACTTAAAAAAAAACTAGATGTTGATACCCGGAGAGGGCCAGTTATGAACCAATGTCGAAATCAGACCCTGAGGCACAAAACCGAGTCTCGACAACGACTCCGGGACTCTTTGGCAGATAAGAGAAAGGGAATTGATAGGAGATTAAATAAGGTTTCTATAGGTGTTGATTTTGGGTGATTTGGAGTTTTTATGACCTTGTAAGAGCTTTGCAAAGTCAAGGTTTGTTTCAGATGACTTGGGTTTTATGAAATAAAATAGGGTTTACATTTTGGGTAATTTCGAGAGTTTTGTAGAAGATCTATGGGTGAAATTTTTTAGGTTTATGGTTATAGTTGTGTTCAATATGTATTGTGAATTTGAGCTCGATCTAATGGTTGAATTGAAGGATATTGAGGTTTAAGTGGATCAAGGTCTCAGAAAGTAGAATTTTAGGTCCAATGAGGGTTTTTAAGATTTCTTGCAATCTACTATTTGCATTGGAGTGAAACTTGCGTGAGAGGATATTAGACTTATTTTCCTATGTGCATGAGAATTTTGAGTTCAATTGAACGGTGCAAAGGAGAGATATCGTCTCTGGAAGATTGGCATTAAGATTGGAGAAGGAGGCCAGCCAATACCCGAGCACATTTTTGACATTATCATCAATTTGGAACTCCGATCATTTTCAATTTTTTTTTATTTGTTTTTAACTTAATTTTTAAGAAGTGTGAAAAATTTGAGTTAAAATCAACGGTTTATTCATTAATTATTGAGGTTTAAATCTGTTGTAGGAATTACTAGGATTTGGTTTAAGGTTTGGTTAGAGTTTGGTTTAGGATTTAGGATTTGGATTAGGGTTTGATTTAGAATTTAGGATTTGGTTAGAATTTGATTTAGGATTTAGGATTTGATTTAGGATTTGGTTGGAATTTGGTTTAAGGTTTGTTTAGGGTTTGATTTAGGATTTGGTTTAGGATTTGGTTAGGGTTTTAATTAGGGTTTGGATTAGGATTTTATTTAGGGTTTGGATTAGGTTTTGGTTTAAGATTTAGAATTTGGATTAAGATTTGGTTAGAATTTGATTTAAGGTTTAGGGTTTGGTTTAGGGTTTGATTTAGGATTTGGTTGGAGTTTGGTTTAAGGTTTGTTTAGGGTTTGATTTAGGGTTTAGGATTTTATTAGGATTTAAGATTCAATTATTTTTGGCCTAAAGTTTGAATGAAGTTCAATAGGATTTTAACTAGAATTAAATTAAGATTGAATTGAGATGTATTTGAGTGATATTTGTGATCCTTCTAATATTTCTTTAAGAATTCTTATTGTTTGTTTGAAATTTCTTTGAGGTTTTTTGGAATTTGATTAAGCTTTCTTAGCATTATTATGGTCTAATTAGAGCATTGTTAGTATTCTATTAGAATTAGGATTTTGTTATTACAATTTCCATTCTTCCACAGAGAGGTGCACGGAGCATTCTCAAAGTAAGACTTCACGTATTACGACACCATAAGCCTGTGTCTATTGCAATGGAAGTAATCTACAATGGACAAGAGCTCTATCTTCCATAAATTTCAATTATTTAAGGTGATTATTGAAAAAATAAAATCTGCTTAATGCCTCCTCATAAATAATTGTTACAAAATCACTTGATGTTCTTTTCTTTAGATGCATAATAACAGGATAAAATTTATTAAAGCTAATAAATGTATCCTAAACCATCACCAAACTATGGCCAAAATTAAAAGTTGGTGCTATAAAATTTTATGTATATCTTTTGTACAATTTTGTCACACTTTAATTTGTCTTGAATTCTTATCAATTTCAAATGATGATTTGTGTGATCAAATCATATTGCATCAATCTTCAAAACTCCAACTTTCATAAGTGTAAGAAATTTAAGCTTATCTAATTTATGCTTGTTACTAAGCTAAGATTTTTCTTTTGCAATGTAATTTGTAAAGCCTAACTCACACAAGTACAATCACCTTTAGTTATAACATACATTCAATTGGTTTGTTATTTTTTATAATAGTTTTTTTTCTATTATTTCTAATATAATATAAGAATAAAATAATATTATAATTAGTCAACTTTTAATGTCTATTATATTGATTTTTTAAAGATTTTATACTATCGCAAATCTTCTAATTTGTCAAGCTAGTAGAAATGGTCAACCATAGAACATTCAATACAAATCCAATATCCAAATATTTTATTCCACATATGTATTTCTACAATGTAAGTTCTTTCCTTATTACTCAATATTTTGTACGACATAGTATTTTTCAAGAATCCAATCCAAATTTAAGAATTAATAGGTTTAATCAAAAACATAATAAACAAGGATATTTGTAATGCTCATATCCAAATCACTTACAAAACAACTTCAAACTACTATGTCTCATCTATGCAAATTAGTCTCCATTGCAATAACATTCTTTTTTGTAGTCTTGAGCTTTAAGTAATACAAAGTGCAATGAATACATGCCATCAAATCATTGAAGTAGTATAAGGAACTCAACAAGCAAAAATGAATGTTTTAGCTTATGACATAATATTTTACTAAATCTAATGAAATTATTTAATTTATTATATTTATTTATAATTAATAGGTAGAAATCAATGACTACTCATAACTTCACAAATTATAATTAATTTAGTAGAAAAGAAGTAAAAATTAAGGTGGCTACAATCAATTGAATGTAGTAATTTTTCATACACAAAAAAGAAAACACGTATAAAGTTTGAATCATAAATGGACTCTATTATATAACTAAGCATTTAAATTTTGTAGAGCCTAATTTATGATGATTTTTTCATAAGAATGATAGCATATTTATGAGAACTTATATTGAATTGTACAATTGTCTTATGATCACTTTTTAGTCATGAGAAAAATATTAGATCCTTGTCTAATTTAATTATTTGTTATGTTAAATTTAATCTATCACATTTCTTAGAAATCAAAATATGATATTTGATATTTTGATGCTTATTGAATTTGACAAAAGAAACAATTATTTGTCACTATTATTACATGCTTTGAAAGTTATCTCCTAAAAATATTAGAACCTAAAAGAGCTCTTCTAGTTCTATAGATATGTCTTCTAAAACTGATAGATGTTATCTTACTTTTAGATTTCATGAGATAATTTTAAGTCACGTTATTCAAAAAGATAATTTTTAGATATCAAATGTAGAAACTACGTATTCTTGATAGTGATTTTGTTGAGTCCTTGATAATCTATATACATCTATAGTGATCCATCTTTTTTCTTTACAAATAAAATAAAAGCTCTTGTTGGAGAATTTGAATAGCTTGTGAAGTTTTTAGTTAGGTTTTTATCAATGTATTCTTTTAGTGCAACCAACTTGTTTTGTAATAAGCTATAGATTGATTCAAATGAGAATTGATTTTTTTCTTAAAGATCAATTAAACAATTATAGGAACAATATTTTTAAAGATTATTTATATTTTGTTTTTAAAATATATCTTAATAATTTTGATATTAATTTAGAATTTAACTTAAAGTCTATCTACTATCAAAAATAGATGTAGTATAAATAAAAAAATTGATCCTTCTTTTGCAACATATATAAAAGTTCTTGTACCTACCAATAAGGATTTAGTTGTAAGAAACTTATGACTTTCTATGTCAATAATAGAAGTCTAGATTATACTATTGGAAAAGTCAAGCTTACAAAGAAGCCAATCTATCTAAGGATTATATTTCTCTAATCATAATAATCTTAAAATAATAGAATTAGAAGAGAATCTATTAACATTAAATATTACTAAGCTATTGTGATTATTACATGCTACATCTAAAAGAATAGTTTCATGGATAACATCTTTAGAAGACAAG